CTTTGTAATGAAAGGGCCCCTTGGGCCTTAGATATACAATTTATTTATTTATTTAAGGAAGTAGCCTTCTCATACCTTGTCATCGTGGCCAGACCAGAAGGAGGTAGATGTACGCACCCGTGCTACCGGCCTCCTCAGAAAAAGGAAAAAGCAGCAAACCTCACCGATGGAAGAAGAAAAGGGATATAGCCCCCTGAAATCGGACGACAGTATCGTTATTGCATCGGCCGGCAAAATTGGTGCAGCCTCCAAGATTTACAAGTTTGACTATGTCAATAAAGCCAAAAAAGCCTTTAATTTTAGGGAGACCTAAATCCCAATCATTGAGCATCCAAAGAGAAAACGGGCTGCATCCCTATATGCGCGAAGAATAACCATTCGCTGGTTATGCCATGTGAGGCAAGAACTTCATCTTGAAGAATTATATTAAGATGTCGTGGTGACGTGAGCTCATGGGGATAATCCGGATTTCCTAAATTGAATGTGTTGTGCACAATAAGAAATGCACCATTCTGCAGGACAGCATTCGAATGTACAGTAGTCGCCGGCTAGTAAGCCCACCTCGGGCCCAGACCAAATTGGGCTTAATAGGTGGCTGGGCTTATTATCCATGGGCTTAATAGCCGGCGACCACTGTACTCGGAAAAGATTGAGGTTCGAACCTCTCAAATTCAGTCGACGATATGGGCCCCCTTAATCATTTTATTACGTTTCCGACAATGATGTATGTTTGGTGAGGTGGCGCTCTGGTTTGTTGATAGAACTTCGATACCACTTACTATATTTTGATTGACTATGTTATTTTCGTGAGTACGAATGATACATCCTTAAGTTATCGGAAAATACATTTTGCAAAGGTAATCCGGTGTTCTTTTGGTGGCTTCTGTACTTCTGTGCTCGAACTTCTAGCGAGAAGAGGCATTTCCGTTGTGACCTGGACCTCATTCTTTGTGTACTTTTTGTGAAATACTTTGACTTCTTTTTCTTCGGCTATTTAAATTCAACGTGGTTTTGACAATCATCATGCAAGTCAACATCTATCAATGATGCAAAACGCATGAACGTGTTGGGCACCATTTCATTATCGTGGTCCCCTCAAGCGTGGCTCGTTGGATGGCAGGATATGAAGCTATGTTGGAGAACTAATAGATGGTCTGATTAGTGGTCTGCGTGTTCCACATACAGAGGAGGCCGTGAAAATACACCAAGCTAACGTAATTTGTGACAACCCCGTCAACGCTCATGTGCATCAAGTTAAAACTGAAAATGGTTATCCTGAATACGACTGGCATGCTATTTAGTAGACGGGTGGGAATAAACCTTGAGACGGCTTAGTGGTAATATGAGTGACAATGATAGAGTTATTTATCTACAGGCTCGCTTCCCTTACCAATGGGAGTCGGTCTTATCGTTTTCATGGTCAATGGGGTTCCTTTGCTGAACAATAAGCGATTCCCATGCTCTTTTTATTTTCGTACGCATTTCAGTTATATTTTGCGTTCAATGTAACAATTAAAAACAGCTTTATTCTATTCCCTACTGCACACTTACCACGCATTAAACAAACATGAACTGCTCTTTTATAGGTCATTAATTTTGTTTAACTACGAATTCCACGATACCTTGACCTTCAGCCCGACTGGACACAACCTTAATTTCTGCTCTCCAACGTAGACTATTTGGA